GCGGGCCTCTCACTGTCGTGGCCTCTCCCGTTGCGGAGCACAGGCTCCGGACGTGCAGGCTCAGCGGCCATGGCTCACGGGCCCAGCCACTCCGTGGCATGTGGGATCTTCCCGGACCGGGGCATGAACCCGTGCCCCCTGCATCAGCAGGCGGACTCTCAACCACTGTGCCACCAGGGAAGCCCAGGGTTTCCATTCTTTTCACAACAGGTCTGGGTGAGAAAGTATCAGCTGAGCTTATCCATTCCATGTTATAATTGGAGAAAACAAGACAGAGGAAGATCAGATGCCTAACCAGGCCACACTGTCAATGAGGGAACCAGAGCCTGAACTCAGCACTCCAACTCCTACCAAATTTATCTGCACTGACTTTAATTTCCTTCCTTCTGAGTTAGACTCCTGAACCTCTAGGTATAGGACGATTTCCTCCAGCAGTGCTCCTTTTTCCTCGTCATTGAAGCCTAAGATCACCATGAAGGTGTGTGGTTCCAAGGAAGGCTACGGGTCCTGGAGACAGCTAAGCAAGATTAAGGTCACTATCCTTAATTTCATTTAATTCTCCCTCCACACCATAGTAAAGACACACACACACACACACACACACACACACACACACACACACACACACAGGGACGGGGGGGGTGACAGGGAGGAGGAAGGGTAAGAAAGCAGTACTTGGCTTGGGGCCAAGAGGTGGATCAGTGATCTGAGATGTAAACATCAAATGCCTTCCTCCGAGCAGAGCCCACCACTGGGCCACCTTGCTGAAAAGCAGATCAGTGGATGGATGGATGAGTAGATGGTACAGGAAGGCAGCAAGTGCCCACTAAACAAACAGGCAGTGGGTGGGCTGCATGCACTGAGGAAGCAGAGAACAAAGACCTCTCACTCTTCATGCAAAGTCCACAGTGTGCAAAGGGCACCAATATTGGACATTTCTCACTGTGACATTTTGAAAGTCCAGCCTAGCCCAGAACAATGGTTACCCTCTGGGGACCATGGGCCGCGTACCCCTAGGCCTTATTTGACGATGGCTGGCATATCCCATGTGCTTGGTGAACTTGACCTTGGGCATCAGCCTCCCATTACGGCTCTACGTCACTCTGGTCTCTTCCCCCACTGAAAATTCCAATCTCGGATGAATGGATGGATTCATTCTGGGAGCAGGGAAACCACTCCAGGAGTGAATCAGAAGGACCCAGCCCTGGTCCCCTTGCCAGCCATTGAGCCAGGAACTGAGTGCAATTGTGTGCCCAGGCGCTGGTGCTATTCCCCTCTCAGGGAGAGAGGGTCAGGGGCCACGCAAGAGATGACGTAGAAGCCCTCTAAGGAGGAAGAGAAAGGAACCTCAGCTCTGAGGGACAAAGCCACCCTTTTGGTTGTGACCCTCAGTCCAAGGAGGTGCCAAGATGTGTGTGTATTGTTAAATTAATTCTACTGGACAAAATCTCAGCTTTGGCTGGGCAGTTACTTGTCAATTTCAATTCACTCCAGCCTGAAATAGGCTACTAGTTTTTCAGAAAAAAGATTTCTGTAAGACAGGTGGAAACAATGCGTCTCAGATCACCCAGAGAATCCTCTACCTTTAGTGGCCTCTGCTCTACTCTTCTCCTGATTTGTGAAGAAAAGATCGATTCATTCTTAAGAATTGTAAATGCCAGTCTAGGCAATGTAAAGCACCTGTACTGTCTGCTTTTGGAGACATTAGGTAAGAGAACTCCAAAGATTAAAGATGCAGCAGGCAAGAAGACATCTACATCACAAAGTAAAGGGACCCAGGTTGATCCTTTAAGGAAGTAATCCCTCTAGGAAGGGGAATTGAAGGATTGCCACTATGCCCATCACTAACTAGGTTATAACAAGACGCGAAAGTTAGCTTTTTAAGGCTCCAGCCCCCTATCAGCCTCCTGGAGCAAAGGTGGAGGTAAAAGGAGCAGCTCCTGCTGGCGCTTGTTAGGGGGTTGCTCGGGGCTGACCCCCACGCGCTGGTGCTGACTGTCTGACATTTGTCGGTCAATCTTCGTCTAAGAAGCTGGGGGGAGGAGGGGACAGAAATGGCTTACATTTTACATTACAGGGCTGTCCCTGACACTGAATGACATCAGTTGTCTGTGGCCAGAGCTTAGTCTCCATTGATGGCCAAATGTGAGCCTGCAAGAGCCTTCCTAAAGAACATTCTACCATCTTCACTCGTTCATAAGTAGCTAATGTGCACTTTTGATAAAGAAACAGGCTAGACTCTGAGGAGAGAGTGGCAAACATGTACCCTATGCTAACGTAACTTGGATTCCAAAAGGACTGATTCATCTTGTACATCTCCGGGGGTCAATGCATTCATACAAGCACTTTAGTTGGATGCCCTGAGGTTTGGGTTGTGGATATATAGGCCCTTAAGCCTGAAGGTAAGGTCCTCTGGGCAAATTGAATCTTACAAAAGAAATCAAGCATTGAACATTAACAAGTGTCTACTACGAGCCAAGTATCATACAGTTCCATAGCAACGCACGTGCCAGCTCTGCAGTTGTGACTACTACTCTGAGGCTCCCTGGCTTCTTTTCTCATGGCCTGATAGTTCCCATAACATTTAAGCTTACTCACGTTAATTTAACAGGGAAAGCAAAGAGTGTGTAAGGCCCTGGAAAAAAAATGAGTCGAATCCCATAATGGGAGTGCGGGTGGTGTGTAAATTCTGGCCCCTTCCGAAAGAGAAGCAAGTTTTGTCTCTTGAAGACTAAGTGGAGCAAAGGTTACTCGTCTGAAAGCTAGGGGTTTTGATCCATGAGCTGGGCTCAGACGGCCAGAGTGAGGGCCACCTGGCAGTGGTGGAGAGATGCCCACCGGGGAGACAGAAGTGGATATTTCTCAACGGATACTTAGTAAAGGAGGTAACAGAGCAGTCCCTCACTTCACACAACTGAGAGAAGACGGACTGGACCAGCACCTTGGAACAGAGTCAGGAAAGAGATGCGGGATCCCACTCTAAAGGGATCCCCCGCCCCACCTCCCGGTGAAGCCTGCCGAGAGCTGGAGCCTCCAAGAAAGCACCAGAGGAAGGCCCCTTGAACGACCCCAAGGGCTGGGGCCAATTGCGCCGTGCTCCGGGGCAGAGGGTCCGCGGGCAGCGCGGGCCAAGGGACTCAAGTCGGACGGACGCAGGGCAAAGCGCATTGCAGGCCGGGGGCTCCAGCTGCCCCCGCCGCCTGGGCCGCACTCACCAGCTCATGGTCCCGAACCTGGCCCTGCCGCCGGGGTCCTCAGCTGCAACTCGGTCCTGGGGGATCGCTTCCGGATTCAGCCAGTCTCCAGGAAGTGACGCGAGCCCCGCCCCCCTCTGCCCGGAAGAGGCGGGCCGGGAGGACGGGGGCCAGACGCATTAACCCTTCCGCTGCCGCTGGCTTTCGCGGAGTTGCCCTGGCCCACGACCCTCGCGCCTAGGCTTAGGGGCTCCAGAGGATTTAGCCTGTGGCGGGGGCATGAGGACCCCTGGGTGCGTTTTGTGCCTTAAACGCTGACTTGGTAAAATTCTCCTCCACGGACTACACGTGTTGCTTAACCGGGGATTGCCTTAGTTTTTCAGTTTGTAAAGAGATTTCTCATCCGGGGACAGTAGCAGTAATTAATTGTCTAGCGGGGGCAGGGGGGAAAGGAGCGATGAAGGAGTGGGTGTGAGGGAGACTTACATTCACTATACGGTCTTTTGTATCTTTTAAGTTTTGTACCCTGTACATAGTTACCTGTTACAAAGAAACAAATGGATCTTTTCGCTCCTCCAAAATGGCACAGGGCCCTGAATAGAAAATAGAATAGTGCTTTTCAGGTTGGAATGTTCTGTGGATTTACTCAACAAAAGAGGACAAAGAGTAAGGGTTGCTCCCAGTCTTCCAGTCTTCCAGTCTTCCCTCTGTGCTCAGCACTACAGAACCCAAATGATGTGAATGGTTCCATTTTTATGCTCATTCATTTAACACATATTCATTGGGCTCCTACAATGTGCCAGACACTGAGCTAACTTCAAGGATACAACCATGAAAAAGCAGTACGGATCCTGCCCTTATGCACTCCCAGGGCTACTTACCTGCAGAGAGAGATAAACAGGCAACAAAGTAATAATATATGATGGGAAAGAAAGTGCTGTGGCAGCCTGTAAGGCCCCCACCCCCCCAACTGCACGTGGAGTTTTAGTGAAGGCTTCTGGGAGGAGCCAATGGGTAGGCCACATCCTGAAGGCAAATCAGGCTGGCCCGGTGAGTCTGAGGGGAGGGCTGGGGAGGGTCCAGGCAGAGGGAACCTATGGTGGCTGAGAAGAGGACTGAGTTCCAGGCAAGCAGCTCACTTGCTGTGGGTCTTCCAAAATCCCTCCTAAGCTGTTCTGGGCCAGGTTGGCTTCCTCACCCTCCCAAACCTCCCTGCCTTAGAAGAGAGAGCTGCAGGCAGTGAGGCTGCTGGTAACTGCTGGACACCCAAGGGCCTTCTCTCTTAAGAATTCTGCTTCAAATGGGCTTTAGTGTTATAAGGGATGCTTGGGGAGTAGTTAAGCTGATGAACTAGGGCAAAGAAATGTATAGTTTGTTCTGACCTCCCAGGGCAGGGTGGAGGGCTTGGCCAGGGGGAATAGGGGAGCTCAGAAAATAGTCCAGGGGAGGGACTATCACCATTGTTACTCCTCAGGAAACAGGCCAAAATGAGCACTAGAGCAGCCTTGAAGAGTAAAGAGGAAGAAAAGAAGTCACCAAAGGGCAGCTGGGGCAGAGAGTGTGGGCAAAGGGAGGGACAGTCCTTGCTGCTTTGCACAGGGTGTGATAAATGGACGGAGGGTGCAGTGTGTTTATGAGGCTCCTGGAATTTCAGCGCGTGTGGATGGCTTCCCCACCTGCTTCCTCCTTTCCCCCTACTCTGTCTCCCCTAGTTATTGCCCCACAGTGCTAAAGAATTTCCAGGTATTAACCTAGGCAACCGCCATAACCCAGGGCAAGTCTGTTTGAGGGCTGTGGGGTGGAAACCACATCCTGCAGGGCAAGAATGATGAGTTCTAGATTAAGAATCTGGAGGAGTACTGGGCTCTAGTTCTTTAACCCTACAGCTGACGAGTCCCATCTCCTTTCTGGGCCTTGGTCCCCTCATTTAAAAGATGAGTGGATGGATCATATCACCAAAGTCTCCAATAGTTTGAGAATCCAGGTCAACTCTCTTGTTGACTCCAGAGGCTCTCAGGAAACAGGAGAACGGGGAAGGCATGTGAGATGGGGCCCAAACAAAGAGGCAAACCCAGAGAAGTGAGCTGGTCTGAGGAATCATGGATGTCTTGGAATGAAGCCCAACATGTACCTTCTGGGATGGAAGGATTCAGACTGAGGCCCTACTAAGGCTGTGCTGCTTACTTTCAACCCCAAACTTTTCATGTAGCCAGCAGGACTTTTGAGGGGACTAGGAAGAGTGCTGGCTTCCTGGGAGTCTGTAAGGAGAGTGCCTGCTCTGAGCTGAGCTCCGTCTCCTTACCTGTGGCTCATTGGCTCAGCTCGAGGCCTGCTGGGCTGAGGTTGCATACTGGGCTGAGGCAGGCATCCTGCTATCCTGCGGACCCACAGGCTTCCCTCCGTGAGTGTGGCATGCCATGTATTGATTCCTGGGGAGCTGAGCATGAGGAAGCACAAACACCTCCCACTGTTGGGGAGAACTCAGGGGCAGGGTCTCTAGACCCAGGGCTGGGAACTATGTCTTTCTCTTCTGTAACCGAAGGACAGCATAATACAGGTTGACTCTGCCCCTTCAGTGGGTGGGGTGGAATAGAATACAAGCAAATTCAGTTTCTAAGTGGAAGCAGAGAGTGGAGGAGCTTTGGGTAGAGGTAGATGCTCCTGGTTTCAAGCCTGGTGACTACTGCTTTCTCCCCAGAAGCCTAAGCCAGAAGTTTAATGAGTGTTCAGGTGGCAGAGATCTACTTTAGGGGACAAAGCTATTTACCAGAGGGAAAGGAGTTGAAGAACTACCAGCTCTGCCATCAGACCCTGACTTCTCTTTGGAGCTTTTCACGCAGTAATTGGTAAGCAGCTGCTCCCCATTGACCCTCAGCTCTGAGCTTGTCATATACTTCCTCTCCCAGCTTCCCCACACAGAAATCTAGGGAGTGCTGGAGTGCTGTGCTAAGGATTCTGGGGAATCTTCTACTGATGGGGAAATTCTGTGATTGATTAGCAATGTCTGCCATGGATGAGTAAGGGCAATGTGATGGTATACATTCCAGTTTGTTATTTTGTTGTTATTATTTTTATGAGTGAATTGAGCACTCACGATGTGGCAGGCAGTATTCTAAGCGGTTCCTGTTTAATCTTTACAATGACTCTACGAGGTAGGTACTGTTATTATTATTAGCATGAAGCTAATAATAAGTAGCAAAATGGAGAATCCAACATGGGCAACCTGGCCCATGGCCGGGCTGGGGTGAAGGGAGGGGGCAGCACATGACCACACACCTAACTAACAAAAGATCTGGCACTCAGCCTCGGCCTGGGAGCTTTTATATGCTTCCTCCAGTTTGGAGCACTCAGGACCAGCAGGTGGCAGCACCTCGCAGGGTGAGAGGAAAGGGCAGATCCCAGCTTGGCATGGGAGTCCTTCAGGGATCAGACAGCCCAGATCTATCAAGGAAAGCAAGAACAAATGAGGGTGCGGAGGAAGGCTAGCCAAGGGGCCCAGAGGAGGAGGGACCGAGCCTCAGACCCACAGGGAGCTGCCATGGCCAATGCTTTAGTTCCATCTGCAGCGCGAGTCTCTCAGCTTGCATTTCATGGTGCCTGCTGTGGGCTTTTTTTTTCCTCCACTCTGGGAGAATGACTAACTTTAAGGACTAAAAAAAAAAAGTGTTTTGATTACACTGCCTTTTTACCAACTGGGAGCATTAGTCACCGTGGATTGCTGCAGATAACGGGGAAGGCAAGCAGCATCCCCCTCCTCCCCCTCCTGCTCCCTGATTAGCTCACAGAAGCCAGGGAGGAGACGCGAGTGAGGGAGAGAGAGAGAGCACACCAGGAGGGAAAACAATCCCCCCTGGACAACATATGCCCCAGGCATCAGTCCAAGGATGCTCTGTCAAGCCTGGGCAGCCCCCTGATGACTTGCCCCACAGTGGGAGGCGTCCACTGGAAAGAGAACTCGCAGGAGGAACACTGAGTCCACTGCTCCCGCAGTCCAAGATGGCTTTGGGTGGCCTGTTCCTCCAGGTGGGTCCACCAAGGGGAAGTCAGAGGAAGTCCCTGAAGTTGTGGCTCCTGAGGTGGGGCGCTGGCGGCTGAAAAGGATGAGGGAGAGCACAGTGGAGTCATCATGGCTGTGACGTGGGGCTGGTACCCAGGCCATGGTGGGGCTAAGAAATGCCTTAGGGCTGGCATCCTCAGGGCTCGGATTGGGGTCGAGAAGTTCCTGCAGGTGGGGATGGTACCCACTTTCCACGCTCCACACTTCACCTTTCTCTTTTCTTCTCCATCCTCACGGGGGCGGTATATAGTACTTTGGCCTCATCTTTCTATCCAAAGTGGCCTTTGCACCTGCTGTGGTGCTGGTGGGGCAGGAGAGCTAAGGCGCTCTCCCGGTCTGGCCTGTTGGCCAGGGCGCCAGAGATGGGAGCTCTGTGCCTGTTTGGCGAAGAGAAATAGGGAGGGATGGCGCTGGGCTGTGTCAGGGACTGGCTGGCCCTGTGAATCCTGTTTGCTCTGCCCAGCCCTGCAGCCCATTCTCCCCAACAGTGTCGTTCCACCCTAGGAAGAAGTCACTGCTCTGAGTGGCCCTAGTAGGCCACGCATGGATATCTCTGTGTGAAGACTTCCAAGGGTCAGGACAAATTAGCATTGGACTCTAACAGTAAAGACAAAAGAAATTTTCTTTCTCCATCTCTCAAGATCAAAGTACTTCTTCTTGATTTTGCTACTGCTGATTCTCTTTGATTTTTAATTTTTTTTTTTTATATTTATGTTTGGCTGCGTTGGGTCTTGGTTGCTGCGCGCGGGCTTTCTCTAGTTGCGGCGAGGGGGGCTGCTCTTCGTTGCAGCGCACGGGCTTCTCACTGGGGTGGCTTCTCTTGTTGCGGAGCACGGGCTCTAGGCTTGCGGGCTCCATAGTTGTGGCTCTCGGGCTCTAGAGCGCAGGCTCAGTAGTTGTGGCGCATGGGCTTAGTTGCTCCGCGGCACGTGGGATCTTCCTGGACCAGGGCTCGAACCCTTGTCCCCTGCATTGGCAGGCGGATTCTTAACCACTGTGCCACCAGGGAAACCCATGATTCTCTTTTAAAATTAAAACATCCACAGGTGTCAGGTGTTCACTG